GATATCAAAGTTCAAATATGAGGATAAAACATTCAAGAACTCACATGTGTTACTGTTCATATGTACAGTGTTTCAATAATAATTACAGTAAGTAACTATCAACATTCAAAATATATCATATCCATATCAAAACCAGGATAACATAAAATAACAGTAAATACACATAGGCTACTGAGTTGCTTTCAGAGGTATCAAAGAAGTGTGCTTAATCACTCCTCATACACTATACTAGCGCCTACTAGTGCGAGAGAAACTGCACCAAAAACTACCCTCCTACTTATTTTAAACTCACAATTGAAATGAAATAAATTCCGTCAATAGCTTAAATTTACAAAAGAAAATGTAATTTCACTCTCGTCATATAAATGATCAAATTACTTCTTTTTTTAAATTGTCAATAGCAAAATAAAACAACTTCCCTTTTATATACATAAATAAAATCATTATTCACCTCAGTTCACTCCCATAGACTTTAGCACCACCACCGTTTTTGTTAGCACACTGAGGAACAACAGACAATAGCACCAGAGCAGCTAGGAGGGACACCTTTCTCACTGTCGGTGCTCGCAGCGGCTCACAAGATGGAAGATAAGTGGTTAGCCGACGTAACTCGTCCCCTTCATTCAGTCACTCGGCTCCGGACTCCCAGTAGGTTTGTGCACTGGTCTTATCTTTCTCCTATCACAGTTTAACTCTGGGTATGTCTCCTTTTTTCCGTCCTTTTAGCAGGTAGCTGCCCTCCTTCTTGCGGCTGAGATCCAAGAGAGCCGGAAGAACAACGCGCCTGCACTTCACATCCCAGCTGACAGTAGTGGTGGGCGGATCAATACAAAATATTGATATATCGATCCAACAGTGGTATTGATATTGATCGATACCAGTGTAATGGGATCGATACTTTAGTTTCTGTCCTGTCCACGCTGCTGTGGAGGTGACCTGTCTGTCTGTCTCTGTGTCACTGCTTTTGAGTGCCGCTCCTGTCACAGCGGGAAAAGAGTGCCGTAAGGCGATGATGGTGCACTTCTACACTGCCATCATCATGTCCATCCTCACCTCTTGCTCACCTCTGGGTACGCTGCTTGCATGGCCAATGGGACAAGGCAGCTGCGACTTTTTGAAGGCAGGGGCGGAAAAAGGAATAATGTTGTGTCCTCACACTTAGAGGCATTTAGACACGTTTTATATGTTTTACAAATGGCACATCTTCCTATGCCGTTAAACCAGGATACTTAGAAGTGATACTTCAGGAATTGTTTGTCTGTTATGCATCTTGCTTCCGATGAGAACTGTGTGATGGGTGTCAGGTGGGCTGAGAGAACGACACCAGGCGAAATGGATGTATGGAAGGAAATAATCCCTTAATGGGTTGGGGGAAGAAGAACATTTTAGAGTTAAAAGGTGATGCATTTCTGGTATGTCCAAGTGCATTTTAACAAACTGGTTCTGTGAGATTATTTATTCTGGGCTCATATAGATCAACAAAAGGGCCCAAATAAAAGTCATTGCACAGTAGATGTGTTATAGTATTTCTTGGTTTCTCCATGGTCTTCTGGAATTTAATGTATTTCTTCACCAAGAGACTCAGTGGATAAAATACACATGACAATAAATTAACTATTTTGTGAACTAAATGAAACTTAAAGCAAAATTCCAAAGCTGACTGGGAGGAATGTTAAAATATGGCACATAATGCATTGTTTAAATGTCATTTACTAACACACATTTTAATAATCATTAATTCAAGAAATCCTTATAGAGAATAGACATTTTTGGCATTCTTGAATGCTGGTGGTTTTTCAACAGGCACCAAAAATTGAATTAAAATGAAACGTTAAAGGGCTTGAGCATAGTGTTTGAAAAGGTTGAGGACACCCATTTATGCTCCGTGTGGAAATAAATTTGCGCTATTATGGTTTAAAATAGCTAGTCGGCCTAAATGCTATCTTACCTGTCACAAAATTCAATGGAAATTCTTGCTTGTGCATTCAGAGCCACACTGATTATCCAAATTTATTTGCAAAGTGTATCATAATTACATAAAATCATTCACTTTTAATGCTCACCCAGCTCTGTTTACTTAGCTGATCATAATGGTC